TCTCATGCACTCACAAATATATTTTTTTAATATAAATTTTTTCAGTGAGATACATGTTAGTATTACTTTTCAATTTAATTATATGATTGATTTCATATTTGTTATATTGACTTTTATTATTTTTGATATATTTTTATATCTCTGTTAAATTTAATAATTTTTTATTTAAAATTTATACGTATGTATATATATGTGTGTGTGTGTGCACGCGTGCGCAGGCGTGCGCTTTCAGATTATTTGTTTTTTTTTTTCATATTAAGGTTTTACATTTATGTTTGCTATTTTTTTTTCTTTTTCAATTTTGTATATGTGCTTGATGCTTATTTATTTATTTTTTTTCATATTAAGTTTTGTGTCTCGTAGTTTTACTTGGCTTTTTTTTTTTTTGTTTCATAAATATATTTATGCATTAAAACTAATTATTTTCTTTTATTATTTTTTCTTATAATGATTTTTTTCATTAAAGGAGTGTACATAAAATCAGTAAACTTAACTATTAATGGGGTATATATAGTATAAGATATATTTAATTACTAATGGGGTGAAAATAGAGATTTATGGGGTGAAAATAACCCTCATCCATAATTTTTAGAGAAATGTTATATTGCCTAAATAAAAAAGAACCAAATTACCGTTTAAATTTCTAGACAGTATGATAATTCCTAATATCACAATATTACCGTTTAAATTTCTATTGTAGAAGATGGAAGAGCCGAAAACTCAAAACAACCAATGTAGATGTTGTAGCACCTGGAAAATCATCGAATAGTATTTCAAATACATCAACATTACCAGCATTTTTTTTATTTTTAAATGTAATTAGTGTCTACTTTAGTTTGCAAGATTAGACACGCCAACCAAGAAATTTAGGACCTAATCAAAACGTATTAATTATAGCAATATCCAGCTGTTATCGCGCAACCAAATTCAAAAATGGTTGTCCAGAATTAGAAAAATAATAATAATAATAAATATTTTACTTTTTTTAAAAGGTAAGTAATTCAAAAGTTTAGATTCAGAAGGTTTTCAAATTGACCGTTCTTTTTCTATCCGTTAGATTCTCTAACCCATTAATCCATGTGGCCGCCACCACCACTTCCAAATACCAGATTCAAAATTCAAATTGTATCATAACCATTTATAACCTAGATTCCCTCACCCACCAACCCTCATCGTCATCATTGAAACGCTCGCTTTCTCTCCAAAACTCCAACCCCTCTTTTTCTATATCACCCATCAAACAAACCCTCTCCCCCCCCTCTCTCTCTCTAGACCAAAATGCGTGAGATTCTTCATATTCAGGGTGGCCAATGTGGCAACCAAATAGGTGCGAAGTTCTGGGAGGTGGTATGTGCCGAGCACCGTATAGATGCCACCGGAAGGTACCAGGGAGACTCAGATCTTGAACTTGAAAGGGTCAATGTCTACTACAACGAGGCCAGCGGTGGTCGGTTCGTCCCTCGAGCTGTGCTCATGGATTTGGAGCCTGGAACCATGGATAGCATCAGATCTGGGCCTTATGGTCAGATTTTTCGCCCAGATAACTTTGTTTTCGGTCAGTCTGGGGCTGGAAATAATTGGGCAAAAGGGCATTACACTGAAGGTGCTGAGTTGATTGATTCTGTTCTTGATGTCGTGCGAAAAGAGGCTGAGAATTGTGACTGCTTGCAAGGTATTTGATAAAAAGCATATAAACGGTCATTACACACTCCCTTTAACCATTCTGTACTCAAAACCTAAATGTTGACATATTTACTCATTTGATTGTTTGATTTGCAGGGTTTCAGGTGTGCCATTCTTTGGGAGGTGGGACTGGGTCTGGAATGGGGACTCTTCTGATTTCGAAGATTAGGGAAGAGTACCCAGATAGAATGATGATGACTTTTTCGGTCTTCCCTTCTCCTAAGGTTTCGGATACGGTCGTGGAGCCTTATAATGCGACTCTGTCTGTTCATCAGCTTGTGGAAAATGCAGACGAGTGCATGGTTCTTGACAATGAGGCGCTGTATGACATTTGCTTCCGAACGCTCAAGCTCACCACTCCAAGTTGTAAGTTTTCTTGAATTTTCGAGGCATTTATTGGTTAATATAAACACTGTCTTGGATCAGAAAGGTTTTTCTCACTAATTTGTGTATATGATTTGATTGGTCATATCATGGCCGAGTCTTGCTTATTTGTTTAGGTTGATGCCCGACGAAATATTGGGTCTAATCTGGGTTTATTTTAAAAAATGAGACTAATTTACTTGAAAGCGTTTGGGGCATACCTTATGGTAGCTGTTCTGTATCATTTTTCGTGTGTAATATTTAAGAAGAATGATTTTAGAGATGCTTAACTGTAGCGTGATGGTTGTAAAGTTTTTGGGGAAAAAACCAATGTTTCGTTCATATTTTTATTAATTCTAGGGTATTGTTATTGTCAGGAAAGGTTTTGCTGCTTTTGGAGAAATTCAACAAAATTGGGTAGTACGTTGAATTTCTTAGGAAGAAATGAAATATTTTTCTTCAGAAAAAAAAAGTTAAGCGTCTCATGGCACTAAGGTGACCATGTTTTTCTTTGAACTTCAATGAGGTTCTTCATGTCACCTTTTCACTGCTATGAATGGATTCGTTGTCACAAAATGGAATGCAAATGTGAGAGTTTGCTGTGTGCTTCACGATGATCAACCTGTGAGTTTAGTAGTTTAGGTGTTTAACAATGTTCTATAGATTTTGCAATCATGATTTGTCCATAATTATATAAGAATGAATTTAGTTATAATGCTATACCCTATGTGAGGTCAGCTTGACAAATAATATTCTTTCTGGGGTTGATTTTTCTACTGAAGAAATTTTATAGATGATGAGTAATTTGGGGAACTTTTCAAATACATCAGAGGGCGATGGTCATTTTGTTTTGAAATGAAAGAGAAAAGTGTTGTGTCACATCAATCTCCATGTAGGAAATCCAACTGGACTGAGGTGGCTCATCTCTTTTTTCCTCTAATTTCAAAATGCTTAGTTAGGTTGGCCAAATTTTTGATATCAACTTTTGTTTACTAAATGATGTGGCACACTCACAACAAACAAGTAAAACCCAAAAATGTTTGATGATTCAGAAAAATGTTTGCTGTAAATGTTTGGTAAGAGTAGTATTAAGGAAGTTCAAAACCAAATGATAAGTTTTGTTGCACCAAAATGTACTTTGTTGGAGTATTAGCATGTGAGTTACTTCTTTTTCATTGGAGATTTTTCTGGTGGCGAGTTCCTTGGTGTTTTTAGCAGCACTGATTATGGTTTTCCCCGTCTTAACAGTTGGAGATCTGAATCATCTGATATCTGCTACCATGTCTGGGGTTACATGTTGCCTAAGATTTCCAGGCCAGCTTAACTCTGATCTCCGCAAGCTTGCTGTGAACCTCATTCCATTTCCTCGTCTTCACTTTTTCATGGTGGGTTTTGCTCCTCTTACCTCACGTGGATCTCAGCAATACCGGGCATTGACAGTTCCTGAACTCACCCAGCAAATGTGGGACTCAAAGAACATGATGTGTGCTGCTGATCCTCGTCATGGCCGTTATTTGACAGCATCAGCTATGTTCCGGGGAAAGATGAGCACCAAGGAAGTGGATGAGCAGATGCTAAATGTACAGAACAAGAACTCTTCCTACTTTGTTGAGTGGATTCCCAATAATGTCAAGTCAACGGTGTGTGATATTCCACCAACCGGGCTAAAGATGGCTTCAACATTCATTGGCAACTCAACATCGATACAGGAAATGTTCAGGCGTGTGAGTGAACAATTCACAGCCATGTTTAGAAGGAAGGCTTTCTTGCACTGGTACACAGGAGAAGGAATGGATGAGATGGAGTTCACTGAGGCTGAGAGCAACATGAACGATCTGGTATCAGAATATCAGCAGTATCAAGATGCAACAGCTGACGAGGAAGGCGAATATGAGGATGAAGAGGAAGAATATCAGCAGTGATGCTGATGATGGTAACTGGGGAAGGAAGAGTTGCTTTAACTGTGGTTGTAACCTCAACTACCAGTTTTCCAGATTGTAGGGGGAAACATTTGCACTATGCAGAACCATAAAACTTATTAGTTTTCCTTAATTGCAATTTCTTATATGATTTGTGTGTTTTCCAAAATCTTTGCGTGGTATTGCAATGCTAGTAGCTTCATATACCCTTAGATGATTGAGTATGCTTGCAGCTTCCTATGACCTGCGGAAGCAAAAACATGACCTCGCCTTTTAAATTTGGTATTACTTGAGTTCTTGGTGTAACTTGGCTTGGAGTAATCACCATAATGCAACTCCTAATTCATGGATACCGGCACCATTAGAGTAGCAATGGTCCTACTCTAGTGATTATACAGCAAACACAAGTCTCTTTGTATAACTCCAACATGCCAGGTCTACAATGCAACCTTGTAACTTATAAGTCATTTGACATTATTACACTTCGAGACTCTAAGAAGATGGTAAGGCTATGATATTATCAACTATGCTATTAAAATCCGTATTCATAAATATTGATTGAACAAATAATAAAATAATTAAAAAAAACTTTAAACATGAGAGGGACATAAAATCTATTTGAAGTTGACCTTAAAGAGTATATGTGTATCTCCCTAGGCCTTTTTATTGGTACTGGATGCCCAAAAAAGAATATTACAATTATGTGAAAAATATTTCTCAATTAAAAAAATTTATTTTTGAATATATATTTTTTCACAATTTTTAAGGGAACTGATATGGAATTAGCCAAAATATCATTAAAAACCATCATTTCCAATTCAAAATTATATATTTCCCATTTAGCCGTTTCATTTCATCTCTTTCTCCCTCTTAATTTCGGTGTAGATTATTTGTTTTTGATCGAATTAAAAAAAAATTATTGAAGCGGATATATATTAACTTAGACACCTGTAACCGTTAAAAAATAAAAAGAAAAATAAAAATATAAAACAATATAAGAAAAAATGAAAATCGGAGAAAAAGAATGTAATCACAGCAGCACTCGGTACATTTAGGGAGCCGAAAGAAGAGAGGGAGAGAGAAGGAGAGTATCTGAAAATGGCGAGCAGTCTCGCAAACAGAGCAGCTTCAATGGAGAGAACGGCTAGCTTCTTTCGGCTCTCCTTCAAATTTCTTAGAAATTTCAGCGATTCCACCACTACTCCTGCAACTTCGCCGGCGGTTGGGGAAGCCAAGAAGCCCAAGAGGAAGAAGAAGAAAAACCTATTCGAGGTGGCTCAGTTTCTACCCAATTGGGGCATCGGATACTTCATGGCCAAGACTCACTGGATCGGCGTATCCTATCAGATCACCAAGATTAATCTCTATAAGGTCTTTCCTAGTCCTTCATCTATATATCAATTCGTGTTGGGTTCTTTTTTATTCGGTTTGTATTAAGGTCGATTTTAGGGTTTAATGAGTTTTTTGGAGCGGTTTTGCAGGATGGTAGACACGGGAAGGCTTGGGGACTTGTTCATAAGGATGGTGAGTTTTCACATTCTCTCTTGTGGCTTTGGTGTTTCTGAAATGTTGTTTAATCCTATGTTTGGTTGCTGCTAAAATGCATTAGTTGTTAGAACGGTTATGTAATTGTCCTCAAATAAAAGGTTTTTGGTTTTCTTATGGCTCAAACATAATTGTTCAAGCGTGAAAAATTGATTGTGATTCTTTTCTTACGTTTTCTCAGCAGTCGAGGTTCAGGGTTTTTCATTCTCTTTTGTGCTTAGTGTAACTGATATTATAGGATGTATGACACACAGATTCGGAAAGAATATTACTAATAAGTTATAAACTAGCTAGGTTTATAAATGTGGGATAGTTGGAGATATGTATATAGTTATTGGTGCAAAATATGCTTTTGTAAATCTACATAAGTGGCGAGAGAGTTCCAGAAGTTCGCAGATCATGTAATTTTTTTTACCGACTCTGCATAGATAGTTTAGCTCCCATTGACGACTGTCTTGGTGACCAAGAATGTCCTGGTGGGTGAACTACCTACGTTAGGTTCTCCCGCAATCAGTTGTATTAATGGGGTCAAATGAATAGGAAAAATCTGGCCGCACTCAAATTTTTCTTAGCTCCTACAAAGAAGTCCTACTTAGAACAAATATGTAAGCTTCATATCACATGCATTGTTAGCATATTTCTATTTGTTTCTTTCTTTTTTGCTCTTTCCCCCCTTAAAATCCTTTTATACCCATCAATAATCAGACAAGAATCCTCCTTCTGGTAAGAGTCCCACATATGAAGGTTATGCTTGTCATGGGCATATGGAGCACATTGCATGAACTCTTCAAATCTTTCATCTATTCAAGACGTAAGATTTGAACTCTTCAACTAGTTCATCTGTCCACTAAATAAGATTGGAAGTTTGAACTCTTCAAAATTTTCATCTATACACGAAATAAGATATGATAAATGTTGGTTGTGGATGAGTTGAGTATATATCTACGTCACTGTTTCAAACCCAAATTGGAACTTGTGGTGCTAAAATGCACTGAAGAGTAAGTTTTTAGGTCTTTTGCCACAAACAATATTAATTATTATTTTTATTTAACTATTTTGTTGATTTGACTTTCAAGTCAGCCACTGTTCACTTGTACAAGGGGACTACTGGCTTATTTCCAGAATTAAGTACCAATCTATGGTACTTTTTAAACAAAATTACTGGAATATGGTTTTTTTGAATTTATTTTTCAAACTATGGCATTTTTTTTTATTATTTTTTTTTCCGGAAGGTACTATGGCATATTTATTTACCAATCTATGACATTTTTTTAAAAGTGTGGTTGTTAACCCTGCATTTGTTAGCAAGCGTGGTCAACAACGCCGCTTTAAATTGAACTGAATTTTTGTTTCCCAATAATCCTTTCCGCTAATGCTTGAATACCACTAAATCTTTTATCGTTTCTCTTCCAAATTTCACCAAGAAGACCTTTCAACGATTCTCCATGACAGTAGAGCAATTGAATCTGAAAAAAAAAACTTCTTGAATTAAAATACGATCCGACACAACCTTCTTTAATCATCAAAATGCCCTTTTGACATTTCCAAATCATGGGTAAAATCTAGGAATGATGAAAAAAGTAAAAAATGAAACTCAAATGCGTAATCTGCCATTTACGGTATAGGCCAACAATCAATCTATAGCAACCACTTCAAGACAATTCTCTTCAACAATCAAAACAGAACTCACACCAAAAACTAAATGGCACTAGCGTCATAGAGAATTGTCCAAGGGTCTCTTGGGTAAAATTTGGGAGAGAAACGATAAAAATGAAGTGTTATTCAAGCATTACCAAGAAGGATTATTTGGAAAAAGAAATTCCGGCTATCCTGTTTTTTAAAAAATGTCATAGTTTGGTAAATAAATTCAAAAATGTTGTATTCTGCCAATTTTGTTTGGAAAGTACTGTAGATTGGTGCTTAATCCCTTCTTTCCATGTATATATGTTGGTGGCAACATTAACTTCACAACTTTAGTAAGACAAAAAAGAAGGAATGATTAGTTCGAATCCAAATGACTAGGAGTCATGAAAGAGTCACCCTTATGGCTACAGTAAGATGGATGAAAAGATGGGAGAATTTTTAATTTGTGATTCATGTATGCATATCAGACCAGTGGAGAAATGTCAAGAAGTGACTTAGACATTATGTTTATGTTATTCATCCACATCTAAATATATTCATGCAATGAAAACATCTGAAATGATATAGTGCATAGTTAGGTAGGATAAAATCATTTCTGCTAAAGATGTGCAGGTGGTATAGGTATAATATGGCATCCAAAGGAAAGAAATGCTGAGAGATCGTCATTTCACAGAGTTTGGTGGCATAACTTGGAAATGATTAATCCAGTTGTAAAAAACTGACAATGATCTCTTGTTTTAAGGTGAATCGGGATAGCTCCCAAGGAACAAGGTATTCTGTTTGCGGATTGGGGTTGCCTCTTCAAAATAGAATTCCATTGTTTTAGCTGGTTTTCTGGTGTAAACCATAGAAGTTTTAGTATAAAAAGTTTTGAAATCACTGTGGGGGCTTGATCGAATTTTATGCCTGTAAACTGTTTCATAGTCCTGATTCTTTTAGTGAATTATGCAGGTTTGCCAGCTGCAGATGCTCCCAAGAAAATAAGTGGAGTTCATAAACGCTGTTGGAGATACCTTGCAAACTCAAAGAAGCCAGAAGAGATCACCCCAAAACCAGAGGTTCCAGCTGCTTGATCTCATTTTTCCTCTCAAAATCTTCACTTAGTGGTTACCTAGCTGATCTTACACAATGTGCTTTGTTAGAGCAGTTGAGTTCATGGATTCCTTTGATGCTGTTGTGTAATAGGAATCAAATGACATGTTACTTGATTAATGAGATTTTCCATTTATGAGCATGAAGGTTAGATCTTTAACATTACTCTTGCATTTAGACCTCGAAAAACGTTTAGCACCCGTGTGTGGTTTCATTGTTGATGATGTCTCTTATGATTATAGCAAAAAATAAAAATAAAAAAATTTGCAAGCCTTTTAACCCTTTTTAAATGCAATGTCGTGGTTGTGATAGGGATTTTAGCAACAACAAAAGTTCACTATATATGATGAAGATTATAAGTTCTCTGAAGTAAGAGTAGTAGAACAACTACCTGATCTGCCACGAATTTACAATATAAATATCACCCGAAGACATTGTTTTCCAATTGGATTAGAGTTTTAAGTTCCCTAGTTTTCTAACAGGATCAGATTCCCTGAAACAGATTATCCAAAAACTGGGCCTGCTGAACTAATGTAGTTTAACCTTCAGCTCTTGGACTAAGGTTAAGTAAATATTGAATTACAACCCAATTTGAGTTTTACGTTGGATTGAATGTGAAATCGAAGCAAAATACGTGACAGCTACAATAAATCACATGAGAGAGAGATTTTTGTCTAATTTTTGATATCATGTACCTGTCAATATGAACATAACCCACTACTCTTTTTTTTCCTAATATTATAGTTAAAAGTGTCCAGACCAATTTACGCGCGCACTTCAATTGATCCTCTTTTTAGTTCGGTCAAAAATAAATTATATACATTGGGACTAAAGAATTCACGAAAGATAAATCTTTTATAACTTATACTAAGAGAGTTGTAAAATTTTAAAGTCAAAGATGTTTCATCTTGTCTTCACTGAAGCATCGCTAGGTTAACATCACCCACCAACCAAAAAAGATTTCCTCTCTCATGTGAACAGAACAAATTAGCATTCAGGTCAAGTCATAATGCTCCCACGAACAAGCAGCTTTGCCTGTGCGTTCCGGCTTTTTGAATGCCACTCCCGACCATTAAAAGCTTTCATAATTTTATCAAGAAACGACAAAATATTGTATGAAGCAGAGGGAGAGGGAGAGGGAGAGGGAGAGGGAGAGAGAGACTTCAATCAACTAAAGTTCATTTCATCACGCCAAAACACTATATATTATACTCTCCACTGTCATTTTGTATTGATTTTCTCAGATCTCTTCTGTTATATATACACCCAACTTCTCTACCAAATCCCATCAAGATCAAGAATCCTGTCAGAGTTCCAATCATCAAGATTTAGAGCAACAAACCCCAAACACCTTTCTCAAACACACCCAAAATGGCATTGATCCTCTTCCTTGTTCTTTCTGCCTTCCTCCAAGGAGCTCTTGGTAATGTTACCCCCTCATTAACATTTCCTATCCTATCTTATTTCCTTTAACTGCTCTAAATTTCCTTTCGTTTCAAACGTTTCTGTTTTTGTTGCAAATAAAAAAAATCAATAATTGAAAATTTAAATCATTTCAAGGTGTTTCTAATTTTGTTATCTGTATCAAAAATGTTTCTTCGAAACCGAGCTGACCGAAACTAAAAGTGAGATACTAGTTGGTTTTTATTTTCAGAAACAGTTTCTAGAAAAAAAACTGTTTGAACATCTTTTTTTATTTATGTTTTTTGAAAACTGGAAACAAAAAATAAGTAAATTTAAAGAACGAACAAGTCATTTGTGTGTTTTTGAAAATATTTTTTCTAGAATTTAGAAAGCACTGACACCAAATTTCTATTCTCATTATATGTTGGGTTACTATCCAAACAAAATTTTGCTGACACAAAAAGTTTTTCGGATACTATTTTTTGAGATGCTAACTAAAATGGGCCGAAATTTTGATAATTGCTTGAAATAAAACCACCGACCCTTTTTATGTTGATTCTTGAATATTGTTTTTTGTAGGTGAGATTATATGCGAGGAATTGGGAGTTGGAATGTGCTCATTCTCTGTGGCTTCTTCTGGGAAGCGTTGTCTACTAGAGACTTATGAGGCAAATGATGGAAGTATGGGCTTACAATGTAAGACATCAGAGGTGGTTGCAGAGAACAAACGTGAATGGATAGAGAGTGATGAATGCATCAACGCATGTGGGGCTGAGAGGAAATCTGTTGGAATCTCATCGGATTCACTACTTGACCCTAAATTTACCTCCAAGCTTTGCTCTCGACCATGTTATCAAAACTGCCCCAACATTGTTGATCTTTACTACAGTTTGGCTTTGGGAGAAGGTGATATATATTTTTTTTATCACATGCACACACATAGATGTGTTAATCGAGTCGAGGTGTTTGATTATGCTTAAATTTGCTTCGGTTGTTAGAGGTCAAGCTTCAGCTAGAGTTTGAGTTCAACTGACGAGCTTAGATTTTTGTTCAAGCTTGACTTGATAAAAACTTGAAAAGATTCGAATCGAACTCGAGCTAAAACCAAATTCAAATTTGAGGACAACTTTTGGGTTGTTAATAGTCCGAAAGTAAGACAAAATACTTTATACACAAAAAAGATATTCGAGCTGAGCTGGACTTTCTTACTCAAAACAATCTATACATTGCTTGAATTTGCTTCATTTACCAAATCAGCTTTGCTGATCAAATTCAAGGTATGTTTCAACTTAAATAAACCTGAACAAATCAAAACCGAGTTTGAGAAGCTGGATCGTTTAGAAGCCCTAGTCATACAAAAACTAACTTGATTCTTACCATCACCTCAAGAAAATTCATCAACTCTTCCATGAACAATATAAGTGTTGTCTTATAAGGTTTGTTATGCCAACTGCAGGAGTGTTCTTGGCAGACTTGTGCATGATACAGCAAGCCAGTCCACGCCGCCGCGCAATGAGTCAGTTTCTAAGTTCTGGTGCAGCTGCCGGTCCAATCTCTTCTGCTGCTGGTCCTGTCTCGGCCACTGCCGAATCTCCAACCGAGTCTGTTGATTGTGATCCGGCACCAGCTGCGCCAGTTGATTGTGCTCCAGCACCCATGTAATTAAGGTCAAATTATATGTGAAGAAAGCTGCTTGTATTATTACTCTTATTGTGATTATGTACAAGTAAAATCAAACCTTATTGTACTGAGTGTACATCATATTTTATAAGATTGATGATTAGTTTGTCCAAGATTGTTCTAAGTAGTTTGATAATCTCACAGTCGCTGAATTAGACACACTCTTTCAAGGGTTTTTTTTTTTTCAAACTACATTATGTGACTTATGCAAACGTGAACAAATAACAATTGAAAAGTGTTGGTGGAGCTCGGGGATAAATAAGAATGTAAATTTTGTACAAGTATTGCAAATGACCATTTACACTTGTCTATGGCATACATTATCTAAAACATTAGTACATACCTTTATTAATAGTAATAGATAGTTAAAACACATCAAATCCCTAAGACTTTCAATCTTGGCTGAAATTTGTGAATGAAGCAAAATCATCCTTCGTAAGGACTCCAGAAGAACATATTCAACTTGAGATTGACAGGACTATATAATACAAACTCAATTCAACAGTACTATTATATCGAATGTAGTTACAAGTATTCAACGAGTGGATTTATCATCGTCTATAAAATTCGGATAAATTTAAATTTTTGTGAAAAAGGGTAAAACGGTAATTTGTCACTATGGTACAAGTTGAAAATCCCTTTTTTTTTGGATTCGTCTAACGAAATCTAGTTATTAAGTCAATTTTTATTGAATTTTGAGACAATCGAATTTTTTCACGTTTTACGAGGCGATCGAGTGTCGTATGACTTAAAAACGAGATATGGAATAAAATTTCGAAAGTTGAAAAATAATTTAAAAGAAGTTCATATAAAAATATTTTGAACTTGAATCGGAATGAATTTCAATCATTTTAGGATGAAATTGGACCTGGGAATGGAGAACGTGTGGCGCGATGAAGACCAAACATCTAAAACAATGTTATCAGAACCGGACCGGCCATCGAACCGATAAGGGGACCTGGTCAATAGTTCACTAATTCAACTGTCAGGTCAACTGGTCGGATTTGTTATATAATAAAAAAATATAAAATATTATAAATATTATAAAATATAATAATTGAGCAAAAGAATATGAAATATATCCGCAATGTATATACTTTGTCCATAAAATTAATGAAATTAAGTATTAAGCATATTAAAAAAGAGGCAGAACAAAATATTTTCCAGTAAATAAAAATCCCACGTAGCCAATAAAAAATGATTAAAAGAGGGGAAATAACAAAGCAAATACAAAACAAAGTGTAAATACTCTGAATGCAATAAATACAAAACCCAGCAGACAGCAAGTGCAAATACTTATGTACTACTATGGTGATGTTTGTTTCTATGCACTGACATGGTGATGTTTGATGGTATTTTCAGGAACAGAAGAAACCAAACAAATCAACACTTTTATTTCACGAGAAAAAAATTACTCTTTTGAAAAAAAAAGGCAAACAATCCTGCCTTCTTATCAAGCCAAGCAAGAAGAAAAAATTACAAGAATCAAAGAATAATAATTTTCCTCCTTAACATTTTGAGCCCTTGTTGATCCTGTAATAACAACATTTTTTTAAAAAAAGAGAAATTTTATTGAGTAAGCAAAGAATTACAAGAAATAAAGAAGATAAGTCACATTCGGGCTTTAATCCTTCAAAACAACTCACTGTGAAACCATTACAAACCAATGCCCCAAAATACAAAGTAGAGGCTGCCATAATCTCACTAAAAACATAGCAGTCCATTCAGGCTGTGTCTCTTTTTGCAGTATAACCACCCATCATACATACACTTCAAACATACCATTAACCACAATCATCAAAAACCAAAATAGTTTTGGTTCTCAATGTAGGCAAATGTCGCTGGTCTTGGAACAACTTCATTCTAACAGCAATTGGAAAGAGACTAGTACTAGAAAAATTAGTCGAAAAACCATCTCGGACCGCCTTATTTGCCAAACCATAAGCTACAAAATTAGCCTCCCTAAATACATGTGCCAACTCGAACTGCATCCTAGCCAAAATTTCATACAGCATCTTGGCTTGCAATGGAATCCTCAAATCTTGAGAGAAATTCGAAGAGAAACCATCTCTCACAACCTGATTAGCAAAGAAATCAGCCAAGCAATTATCTAGAGGAAGCGAAAAAACCAAACCAGCTGAATGTTCGCCTCTATGGCCTTCTCTTCCTCGCCTGAGTGGTCGGTGGTCGCCTGAGTTATGAAGGATCGATTCAATTTAGGGTAAATGCCCCAAAATTTTTTTTTTCTTTTTTTCAAATGGAGTCCCTGAAATTCAAACTATCCTGTTTGATCAAAACCATCCGGTTCACTGGTTTGGTTCAAAATCGGCCAGTTTAACAGTTCTCCGGCGGTTTATTTCCTCATGTAGTCTAACTACAGAATCGGACCGTTTTAGGTCCTGGTTTACGGTTCAATCGGTCGGTCTGGCCCGATTTTAATAACATTAATTTAAAGGGTATAATAGATACGGGAGAAAAATTAAATTTTTCCCATACATATCAGATTATCCAAAAAATCAAAAGAAGAGAGGGAAGTTTCACCTTTTCTCTACGTTCTATGTCTCTACGTTGCTCGAATCGACTCAAGCTAAGAACAAAAGTTATTCTTCTCATCGAGGGCTACAAAACTATACCAAGAAGGTTGGATTTGGGTGAAATTACAAAGACGAAATTTTAGAAAAAGCTTGGATTAAACTTGTTTCGGGTTCTTGGAGTTTCCTACTGTTGTTTTACACTTCAAGAGGAAGAGTTTTTTTCCTAATTAGGTTTATTTTGAATATAAGGTTTCATATGATATGAGTAGCATGACTTGAGATGAATTCTCTTGTTTAATGTACTGCTATTGTAAATAAAACATATGAAATAGGTATAGAAATAGGCTAAACCAATCTTGCATGAATTGAATTTGTAGATTTTACTTGTTTGGTAAATTCATGAAAAATGTAGATACTTGAAATGTGAAAAATGAGTATTAAGAATGACTAAAATTAATTTTACCATGAATTGGGTATGCAGAAATTACTTGTTGTGATTTCTTGAGATATGTGATAAAATTGGGTATATTATGTATTTATATGATTTGGTGCCTTGAAGGTGTTTGATTAAATGTCTATTTTGATTAAGTGTATTACTTATATTGATCATGTTATAACATGCTTAGAATTTGATGTCAGTAAGTGTTAGTATATGCATATGATATATTTACATTGAGGTTGTTTATGGTGCTTATATATTTATGATGTAATTTACCATAAAAAAGGGTTGTTGAATATTAAATTGTTCATAATGTGCTCATGACATATTTAATATGATATTGTAATTGCAATTAAGATCCTAGTTGTATATTGACATGAAATACAATTGTACATTTATATTGCATATACACGGATAACATCATATTTGTGGGCGTTTGATATGAGTGTGGATGTGTGTGCATGGTTTGATCAAACACCACTCTTGGTGAATGATATGTGGGCTCGGAATAGTTGGGCCGAAATTCAATTGAGTCGCACAGTTTGCATTGAAAATAGGGTTGAGATTAGCAAGAAGGGCTAGATTCTTCATCTGGTGCAAGATCCGGTGATTTGGATACGCACTCCGTTGGTATTGAGTCCATAAAGTGTGTCGGCGTACGCAGAGCCGTTAGTAGAAATCTATTAATGCTATGTTAGTTGGGTGCCCGTTGGTGTGAGTTCACAAATACTTACCCTAAAAAAGACCCGAGATTTAAAAAGTTCATTAGATGTGTAATATTAATTATAGGAGCTTGGAATGCCCAGTTTCGTATGCATGACATTGCATGTGTTGAGGGAGTCAATAAAGACTCAGGTTGAGTTGTATGTGTGAGTATCATCTTATATCATAGAATGACATTGAGGATTCCAGTATTGAATTACATATTCTTGAATGGAGTGATTGTTGCTTGTGAATTGCATGTTATCATTTCATATGCATCTAGGTTGGGGAGTAGCCTCTTTAGAGATACCCTATTAAGCATGACCCACCCTTTATAGAGACATATTTCATGTGTTTAAACATGTGCTAAGTGGACGAGCTTCATTTGGGCTCTCGTTGATGAAG